GCAGAGCAGCCTGCTGCTGGGTCAGCAGGGATCCACTCCACAATGCTGCCTGAGCTCTGTCTCGGCTAACAAAGAGTCAGCTTTCCATGGGCTACTTCCAAATTCCCCTGCAGCTGTACCTGGGTTCCAGGTGGGTCCTCAGGGCTCCAGTGTGTTGGTAGCTCTGGCCAGGCAGGGAGTCTGTCCAGGTCATGTGGAGGCAGCGGGCCCGACAGCCTGAGCCAGTTTTCGGCCTCTGCTGTGTCTTGCTACTCCGGTGAGCACAGAGTGGAGGCTTCTGGCTCCTTCTGCCGCCGGGGCCTTTCTGGCCTCCTTGGCAAGCCCCAGTCAGGTGGGTTCTTAGGGCCAGCTGTTGCCCACCAAGGCTCTGGGAGGGTGGTTCCCCCTTGTGGCTACCGGGCAGCCATTCCGACCCACTACAGATGGTCTTATCCTGGAGCTTCTCATGCAAATTTATGGTAGCATGGAATTTTTCAAAGCTATATAACACAACTTGCCAGCACACACAGAGCTGGTTATATTTTGTCATTATAACGTAAAAGAGACCAAATAATATGCTATGGACATTTCACGTGGTTCTTGCTGCAGATGTCAACATTTACAAGGCCTCTCCTGGAAATGAAACCATTAGAGATAATATAATTCATATGTTCAGATAAAAGCCCCTTCAGACACAGAAATATGTTAACCTCTGTGCAATCTGGATATGCCTAAGTATTCTCTCAGGCTGTGTCCAGACTCAGGGGTTTTTTCGGGAAAAGTAGCCTTTTTCTGAAAAAACTTCCCCTGTGTCCAGACTCAAGCAGCGTTCTTTCGAAATTAAATCGAAAGAACGCGGCTTTTCTTTCGATGGCGGTAAACCTCATTTCACGAGGAAGAACGCCTTCTTTCGAAAGTTCCTCTTTCGAAAGAAGGCGTTCTTCAATGTAAATAGGGCTTCTTCAAAAGAGAGCATCCAGACTCACTGGATGCTTTCTTTTGAAAAAGCAAGCCACTTTTTCGAAAGTTCAACGTGCAGTCTAGACACTCTCTTTCGAAAGAAGCTCTTTTTGCAGTCTAGACATAGCCTCTGGTAGGTCTTCATTCCTCACTTTAGATTCAGAGACTGAATATAGTCTTGGACACTTGACCTAACACTAAGTATGTGAAGCAATCCTGACAGTTTGGCGATTTGCTAGGGCTGAGATTGAGATTTTTTTCTCCTCTAGATTTGGTGGATATTACAATATATTGAAGGATCATTTACTATGAAGTCCTTGAATGCATTCCTAGTTGACCAGACCAGAAAAATAAACTCTTTTATACCCCAAAATTTCAACAAGCATTTGATGCAGAACATTTATCTGGCAACAGATTGATACCACATCTATGTTGGCATGAGGATTATTTTTTTATCCTCCATATAAATGCCCTATTTCACAATCTGGAAGAAAAGGAACAAGTGATGGCCCATAGCCATTTAACAGCTATAAAATAAAACCTATAAAATAAAAATGGAATGAATTATCAACCCATAAACTAAAGTTTGGTTGCTTAAAATGGGCCAGGGCTTTAAAAAGGCAATTACTGTTTTAATAGAAACAAGTTTCTCAATATATTAACTACCTTCTTGCATAATGTTATTTTTTTCTTCTCTTCAAAGCCTAACACTGCTGAGAATGCATGACAGCTGGCCTTTCCTCTAACTATTTTAAGATTGATTAGGAAATAGAAATATTAATGCAGTCTTCCAAAATAGTTAAATGATGCCAAAAATAGCACACAGGAACATGCCTCACTTGAAGACTATAGTTGACCAAGATAATAAAGCTTTCAATTAATTATCCTTGATAGACAACATATCAAGGCCATTCACTGAAAGTCAGTAATGGAGACCACTTTGACCAGGAAATTCCTCTGACCTTCTTCTGAACCAGTCTGGAAGTTTCTTCCCTTCCTTCATATTAATCCATAACATAAGTTTCCTGTCCTATATATATTGCTTTATTATTTTGAAGGAGATACTATAGTGCATCTTTATTTAGAAGTTCAGAGATGAATCTTTTCTTTCTTCTGTTACAGAGTACATGTCCACATTTATTTAAACTTTTTTATGGAGACAAACAGAATTCTTATAGGTTTTTGAGGAGACATTTACCAATGGAATGTCGGTGACTGGCAACAATGCATTTTTTTTAATTCCCTAAAATAACAGTTTTCAAGGTGTGGGAGGTTATATTTGGCCTGGGACCTTGAGAAAATCCCTGGTAAAATGCAAGGCCTGAATAGATACAACTAACTGGGTCTGTAGCTAATATTTTTTAAATTAACCATTATCTTCATTTGACATGGTACTTCCTGATAGGATACTGGCCCTGGCCCTGATAGTACAATCAGACCTTTGTGAGTCCAATTAACTTCAGTGGAAGTCTAAATAAGCACAAGAGTAGGCAAATGAAGCATACCAAAGTTGCTAATGAAGCGTAGGATTTAAATATCCCGCGTTTGATTAGCATATTCACATCCGGTCGCCATTTTAAAAATGCCGGTCGCCCGAGTTAACTTGCCGCGTGTAGATGCGGTAGTCCGATCCAAAACCCTTCCCTCGAATTAACTGTTACTCCTCAGGAGTAAGGGTTTTGGATCAGACTACCGCGTCTACATGCGGCAAGTTAACTCGGGTGACCGGCATTTTAAAATGGCGACCGGATGTGAATATGCTAATCAAACGCGGGATATTTAAATCCTACGCTTCATTAGCAACTTTGGTATGCTTCATTTGCCTCCCTAGTCTGAAGTAGGGCAAGTGCAGACATATCCTGAGACAATATCAATCTGCAACCACTGTAGATTCAAAGTATTTGCCTCTCTTCCCCATCCAAAGGCACAGGCATAACACCATGAAAAAGATATGTGTGTGCTGAAGGATGATAGCAAGGGGCGAGAATCCTTAATTTCTGAAATTACATCCAGAAGGAGAGCATCAGGGTATTAAAATTACCCACCCAGTGGTTGAAGCTATTCCCAAATTACCCTGTTTAAATTATGGTTTTAAAACCAATGCAAGACTAATCCTTTCATCATGCATTGTACAATAGGTGCCTAACAAGCATTTTACAATTAGCCAAGGATGGTAGAAGAATCTCAGTCATGTTGGCATGGGAGATTTAAAAAGAGAAAGAAACAACATTTTTCCCTGTGAGAAAGAATGACATGTGATGGGAGAGTAGAGGAAGATATTGTCATAACAAAGGGAATGTGTTATTATTTATTGGCCACACTTATGCACTGGGATCTTGGATTACAGTATCTAGTTACAATTACGCTTGAAAATTTTGTAAATATTGAAAAAGAAAAGGTAAGAGAATTGGATAGCTCGGAATATATTCCATAATTAATATTTTCAAAATTCAGCACTGGAGAAGAGTGGCTTTTCCCCCCCTTTCTTGCTGTATATTACACAACTCTTTAGAAACAAGATCTTCTGAGCACTTCAAATCCCACTAGCACTGGGCTTGATCCTGCTTCCGGTAATGTTAATGGGAGTTTTGCCAATGATTCTGATGAGAGCATTAGACAACCCATTAATGAAGGCACTCAGCACCTCACAAGATCACGCCAGAAACAATAGTGCTAAACCTAGGTGCTGACTGTGAGCTCTTTGGGACAGGGACTGTCCCTGACGGAGGCCTCTTAGCAATGCTGCAATACAATTAATAATTAAGAATAAATGCTACTTAATCCAGGCCTACTCCCTTTGGTATCCTTGATGACAATGGCCCACTAAACTCATTGGGAGTTTGAAAGAGCACAGCACCTAATAGAATTAGGTTAGTTCTTTCTGAAAGAGGCACTCCTGGGCTAGTTCGCACATCCATTATTATTTTAACTTACATTTAAGCACAAACATTTTGGATACATTTATCTGATTTGTCGCTATTAATTTCCTGGTTCTTCATCCCTCTTTTATAGAATCACTAAATTACGAACTGCAGCACTAATCTGTTTCAAAACAGTTCTTGATTTGTAAAGATGAGTTTTTTATGCAACTCTGATAGGGCAGGGATGTGGTTCTCCCTCTTTCCCCCAACATCCCACATTTGTAGTGCAGAGGAAGGGGGGGGGGACCTAAAAAACCAACCCAGCAATAAGTTGGCTAATTCTGGCAGCAAGACAAATCTAGCACCACACGTCAGGAAGGAAGAGAGCGCATTGCTCATCCTTTCAGTTTTGTCTGTGTAAGGGAATGCTGGACATCAACAGACAACAAAGGAGGCTGCAGGAAGAACTGCTGAACTGCTTCCAAACCCCAATACTTTTACCTCTTCTGACTGGAATATACAGGTAAAAATACTGAAATGCTTTAGCTAACTGGACTTAGTGAATAAAAAAGCAGTTAGAAGAACACTGGACAGCCTAATGTTATTCCTAGCAAACAATGGAATTAAACTACAATGTATGGTCTAATAGTTACTGTATATACAATACCCTCAGGTACTGTAACTTTACATGGTTTGGGTTGGAAGATTCTTTTTAAAGCAAATAAATTGCTGAAAGTGACAGTAAAGATTTTTTGGTTATAGTTTGCTAAAGTTCCCTTTATAAATAGTTGATTGTTATTTATTTAATTATAGCTTACCTTGATAGCATCTTTTATATCTGCATTAAATAGGCAGACTGGATATTTTTAGATGTCGTGTATCTGTGCTATGTGTTATAATGTACTTGTATTACCATCAGGTTGAGAATTTATTATTAATGCATTTCATAATAGAATTTATGTGTTACTGAAGACTGCATCCACAATCAGCAATCATTTAATATTGATAAAGCATTTAGAAACACTATTATAGTTTATTGTGAGAGAGATTATACAGCATATCAAAGATCAGAAAAAAGAAAATAAATATTCACAGTTTATTACATAATCTCAGCAATCTAAGAAGAGAATACACTTCTCATTTTGAACTCTGGTTTAAAGAGGAACTTTAGATATCCCAAAATTCTTTTCTCCCAAACAGATGTCAGAAGACGAGACAGACAAGGTAAAAATCAGAGCAACTGAAAGCTTTGAAAATGACAAGCAAAATATTCCTTGGTTGAATGAAGGTAGGTTGCATTGTTATTTATAAAGTATCTATTTATATTCAGATATAATTCTTTCAATGTATTAAAGCTGCAGCAGAAAACCAAAAGAATGTAGATGAAACTTCCATTAACTCTAGTAGGGCCAGGATTTCACCCTGTAAATATTCTAGCTGGAAGTTTACATAACATGCAAATGATTTTGTTTAGTCTTCTAGATGGCCTAAGTTGTCAAATTTTAGAGCTATTCAATGGTTTGGATTTCTTTTAATATATATAGATATAAATTATTAGTTGTTATTTATTATTTAACAATACTAATACTACTATTAATACTACTACTACTAATAATAATAATAACCTGCTACAGCTACAGATTACAGACCAAATCCTTTCTAAGGGTTTACTAAGTCAAAGTATGAGTGAAGTTAATCAAAGTTTGCATGGGTTACGCAAAGTTAGGTAAAATTGAAATACCTTAGAACTGACCTTATTTTATCCATATTAGAGGAAGGCAATATTATATCCTGCTTCTAATATCCATCTGTTAGCATTGCTTTCTTTTTGTGTATAAAATAGATGACCAAATATTAAGAAAAGTGAAGAAAGATACCACAGTAGGAGACTGAAAAATGTTTCTTTCTTACGGAAAGAAATTGCTAATAATTATTAAAATCATTCAGGTTTTATGAAGTATAATATTTATTTAAAGCATTTAAGATGAAAATACATATAGAATTATGTTATTTATTTCACAATTGCCCATAGCTGTGATGGTGAAAGGTTCTTTCATATTTTGCTTTCTAAAAATTGATCTAGGTTAATGCAAAACAAATTATAAGATATAAAGACATAGAAAGACTATCTTTGACTGGTGGAGTCACTGTAGGATATTTCGCAATACTTTATATAGTGTACATCTGATAACTCTGTGCACCAAGAGAATGGGATTCTAAAGGCAAAATGTTACAAGCTTTATAAAATTCATTTCTCACATATCCCATGTTCAAGATAGTTATAGGTTGCTTATATAAAATTACTTCTGAATTCTAACAATTTTTAGGAAAAAAGATGTGATCAAGTATTTTGAAATATTAGATGCACAGGTTTGCAAGAAAGAAGAGCTCATTTATGTTAATCATTATATTATAATCTATACGATGCATCATATTATTTTCTTCCCACTGCATGTTAACTGACTGGTAAAGTTTAGTCATTGGGAGTAATTGGCCATGCAAAATAAAACTGAACAAGATTTGAGTTTTTTCTTGTTTCTTACTCCTAAGAAACAAGATGATTGTGTCATTGGAGGCAGATGAGAATATTTGTCAAACTAACTTTTTTGAAGCAGTTACAAGTGTGGCTGATAAAGGTTCTGAAGTGATATAATAACACTTCTTCTAAGGAATTTGACGTGATTGGGGCCATGTGACATTCTGATTACAAAACCCAGAATGATATAAAATGAACATGGCACAAAGTAAATGGATTAAAAACTGGCTCACCAGTAGGCCTTCCAATCATAAACAGGACAACATGAAGCTGATGTATTTCTTGTTGGGTCACACAGGGAATGGTTATTCTTGCTATTTAACATTTTTGCCAATGACATGGAAGAAGACAAAATCATCATTCATAAAGGTTGCAGATGACACAAAAATTGGGGAAGCTTATCAAGAGGATAGGTCAAACAGATACAGAGTGATCTTGTTTGCTCAATAAGCTAGGTGCAAGCAAACAATGCATTTAATATGGCAAATGTAAATGAATATATCGAGGAGCAAAGAACTGATTGCACTGGGAGTTAATGACCTTCTGATTATCCCAAATCTTCAAAGTAACTTTTCCCAGGACAGAGTCTGTCACCTACGGGTCATACTTACAGGATGATAGACTCTGTCCTGGGAAAAGTTACTCTGAAGATTTGGGATGATTGGCAGATCATAAGCTCCCAGTGCAACACTGTGGCCAAACAGGCTAGTGTGATATTTGGATGTATAAACAGGGAAATGCCTAGTAGGAGTAAATAGTTTATTTTACGTTTGTATTTGAAACAGAAAATAGCCACAAGAATGATCACAGAGAATTCTTGTCCAGGTTATCTTCCTGGGGGATCTTGTTCAGGGTTTAAAGTGATGACCGTATTTGGGTCTGTGAAGGAATATTCCCTTGGCAGAGACCCTGAGGGAGTTCACTTTCCCCTGCAACATGGGGCACAGGTCACAGGGCACAGGTCACATACAGGTTTAAATGAGTGCAAATGATGTATTCTCTGTGACTCGACATCTTTAAACCATGGACCAATTTACCAAGGGTCGTGGCGCAATCCCTGGTCCACTACAACCCTTGGTAAATAGGTCCAGTGGTTAATTCATTTACACGTTACTTCCAGTCAGAATGTGTCCAGCTGCAACTTCTGCCCAGGTCCCTGGACAAGGTGTGGGAGGTGGGGCATCTCCGTACTCCTGGAAGGGCGGGGCCTCAGGTGGAAGGAGCAGGCTTGAGAGCAGCCAGCTTGGAGTGTGCCATGGCGAGTGCACCTCCCCCCTTGACAACCCTCAGAGCTGCCCAGAACACACTGCGTGGGGTTCCTGCAGCAATTAAAGGACCTGGGGCTCTGGCCACCACCATTGTCATAGTAGTGGTGGCGACAGACAGAAGTCCCAGGCCCTTTTGAATCACCGGGCTCTGGGGCACTTGCCCTCTCGTCCTCGCTCCCTCCTCCCTCCACCCCCTGTTGACAGGCCTGTGATAGACTCTCCATCATCGGCAACTTTTAAATCACATTTGGCTCTTTTTCTAAAATATCTGCTCTAGGAAGTAACACGGGGAAGTTCTGTGTTATGTAGGCCGACTGGATGATCACAATGTTCCCTTCTGGCCTTGGAATCTATGATGGTTTCATTTACTTCATTCACTTGATCCCTCCACCCCCTGTTGACAGGCCTGTGATAGACTCTCCATCATCGGCAACTTTTAAATCACATTTGGCTCTTTTTCTAAAATATCTGCTCTAGGAAGTAACACGGGGAAGTTCTGTGTTATGTAGGCCGACTGGATGATCACAATGTTCCCTTCTGGCCTTGGAATCTATGATGGTTTCATTTACTTCATTCACTTGA